CTCTGTTGCAGCTTGTTAAATGCGTTCATGTATCGGCGGTACGGCACCCAGGTTTCGCTTCCATATAACATGGTGGGAATTATTATTGCTCGGTACACTGCAAGTTTCGTTTTTGTGCTCAAGTCATGGTTGTAGAAAACCCTGTCTTTTAATTTCCAGAATGCTCTTGAGGCGTTCTTAATCCCGTGTTGAATTTCAGAGTCGATATTGGCATTTTCCGCAATCAAACTGCCGAGGTAATTGAATTTCGCTACATATTCCAATAGTTCTTCTCCGATTTTTATAGCATTGTTGTGATCTTCCGGGGGAGTGCACATGATTTTAGTTTTATCGAAGTACCAAAGCCGTAACGTATTTGCAACTAGAGCACAGTCATCAGCGTATTGAAGTTCTGTGATGAATTTTGTACGTGTTTTTGCCCTGAGTTTTTTTATGTTGAACAGACCGCCGTCGTATCTGTATCTAATGCCCAAACCTCTCTCCTGCAGTTTGCTACCCACTATAATGGAGAGCGCTGCCATGTATACATATATTGAATAGGAGAGGCGCTAAGACACATCCCTGCCTAACGCCTGTGTTAGGAAGGGATCGCTCAGTGATCCATGATATGACACCCTTGATTTGTTGTTGTTATGGAGGCTTTTACACACTGTAAGAAATATGTTGGGTACTCCAAACTTTTTCATAATTGCCCAAAGTGCATCTCTGTTCACAGAGTCGAAGGCTTCTGTTAGATCGATGAATGCAACGTAAAGTTTAGACTGCTGCTCTTTTACTTTTTCCTGTAGTTGGCGGATGGAAAATATGGAATCCACGGTACTGCGGTTGGTGCGAAAACCCGTTTGCGATTCTGGGAGGATTTTTTCTATATGTGGGTGCAGGCGGTTTGAAATAATTTTTGCAAGAATTTTTCCTCCGATAGCCAGTAATAAAATTCGTCGGTAGTTTCCGCAGTCTGATGCACTTCCTTTGTTCTTAAATATATTAACTATATTCGCGTTGCAAAAGTCCTGAGGTACCTCTCCGCTTTCCCATATTACATCGAAGAGAGCCTTAAGATGACCAATAAGTTCTTTACTTGCACACTTATAGATTTCCGCCAGAATCGCGTTACAGCCAGCCGATTTGTTGTTTTTAAACTGTTTTATGGAGTCCTTTATTTCCTGTTCTGTTATTGGAATGTCTAATACATCGAGGCTATTATACTGAGGTATTATGTTGAGTGCTTCCATATTGGGGTTGTTTTCTTGGTTAAGGATATGGCTGTAATGCTCTTTCCAGCGGTTTCTGATTTGTTTTTCCTCTTTTAGAAGTTCCCCATTTTGTGCCATGATTGGGCATCTTGCCTTATTAGTTGGGCCGTATACTTTTTTTACAGCTTCGAAGAATTTACGATAATTGTGATGCGTGGCATACTCTTGAATATGATTCGCTTTTTGTGACCACCAGTTATCCTTTAGTTGGCGCAGTTCTCTTCGAAGCGTGTTGTTGACTGCTTTAAAGTTGTCTGCCAGTCTTGGATTTTGTGGATTTGCAGTGACTGCATGATGGGCTCTATGCTTTTGTTCCAACAAGGCCTGTATATGCGCTCGATTTTCGTTAAACTAGTCTGATTGTTTCTTTTTGTTTGATTTTCCCAATACTGCTTCGCTGGTTTTATGTATCGCATCTCTTAGTTGTGTCCAGCCTTATTCAGCTTCCACGATTGAGATTGAAGTTATCCGTGGAGGTGATTCTTTGATGAGTTCTCGGATGGCGTCGGCGGTATCGTTGTTCTCTAGACCCCGTACGTTCGTTTGCTTTTTACAACAAATTACCTATAACAGATGCGAAAGAAAGCGACTGCATCGGAAACCGCTCGGCAAACCCGACACGCCTATTGAGTGGTGTAAATACACCAGTCGTTTAGTCCGGAAACCTATGCTGTGTCGTATTCGCTTGCTGGAATGACATAGTGCGTGGTTATATGTTTCTTTTTAAAAACGCGTGTAGGATTTTTGTTGAACTTTTGAACTGTTATTTCTAAGTTTTGGTAATTTGTATATCTTATTTAAAATGGGATGCAAATGTGTTTATTTATAAGGAAAAAAAAGATATTTATAGTATAAAAAATTAATTTATTTAACAAAATTTAATTAAAAATGTGACAAAATAGTTACCTTTCTATTGGTTCTATCGGACTTTTTTCGACTATATAAATCTTTATTTGTAAACTTTAACACATCAAATATTTTCAATCTAATAAATCATTTAATGATGTAAATAAGAGGAAATTTCTCACATGGGTGGTCAAATTTTATAGTTTTCATTATATCAAACAGCCTCTGAGAAATGTTTTCAACTCAAAATGCCTTTAAATATGTTTGACTACATCATTAAAAAGGGTCTTCAAATACATCAATGTGCTATTTGTCTAAAATTTGCAAAAGAATCCGAATCTCTGGATAACTCGAAATTATTTACCCATTTAAAAGCCTTTGATCATGAAAGTGGAAAAATTTGTTCATTTTATTTACAGGCTGGAAGAATTATTTATATTAAATTTTGATGAGTTTTGCACTGAAGAAACTTATTTATTATTATTATAATGTACATTATTAATACTATTGTTCATTCGGAATGGCATTAAGGCCCAATTGCAACAATGATTTAAATTTTTATTAAAGATAAGTAGAGCTTAGAATGAGCTGTATTTATATTTACTTTAATATTCACCTTAAATGAGGGAACTTGTCTGATACAATTTTTGAATTTGAATTGTTTTTAATTATACTAACAATTTTAGTTCAATTTTTAATAAAATGTATTTAATATTAATAGAAATCCAAGAGATTTGAAACCTCTTTTAGCGATTTATAACATTCTCAAATGAATTACAGGTGCCCTTATTTTCTACGAAAATCACACAGCTTTTTTCATAGTCGCTGCTGTTGCTATAGCTATAAAAAACTAATTTTTAAGGAGTGAAAATTGCGACACACGCTAAATGGACTTGATATTTCGTATGTCTCGAAGTCTCTGGATCTTTTTGTATGCCTCGATAACATATTGGTGGAGATTATTTTCACCCAAACAAATAATAACCCAAACTATACATTGATGCGGATTGTCTATGAACTCTTTCTGAAGGTCACAGAAACCTGAACGCGTAATTCGGTGTTCTTCCGCATCTGTTATAGGTAATTTGTGTTTTTACAGTGTGGATATTTGGGTTTTAACTGGATTTTCATTTTTGAAATTAAAAGTCGGTGATCAGTGCCACATTCGGTATCTACTCTGGCTTTTGTGAGACTGACATCTTTTAGATGCGTCCTTCGAACGATTACGTGGTCCAATTGGTGCCAATGGCCTGATCTGGGATGTTTCCAGGTACCTTTAAACTTGTCTTTCAGCATGAACCACGTATTGATGATGCAAAGATTATACACTGTGCATGTTGTTAATAAGCGTTTACCGTTGCTATTTATGTTTCCCATTCCATGTTTTGCCATTACGTCAGGCCATATTTCTTGTTGCTTGCCGACACGGGCATTAAAGTCACCTAGCAAAATGATTCGTACGTGCTTTGGAATTTGTTGGAGTGTATTTTGAAGAGCTTGGTAAAATTTATCCATATCCTCAATTTTAGCGTCTAGGGTAGGAGCGTAGGCACTTATGATGTTGACGTAAGTTTTGTCTGATATGGGGTATCTTAGGGTCATAAGACGTTCGGAGACACCAATAGGTATCTCTGTTAATTTGGTGGCGATTTCGTTTTTGATTGCAATGCCTACGCCATGAATTCTCCTGTGTGTTGTAGGGTGACCCTTCCAAAAGAAGTTGTAATGCTCCTCAGTGAGACTACCTTCATCCGCAAAGCGGGTTTCGCTAAGAGCGGCAACATCTATATTTAGTCGGTGGAGTTCCTGTGAGACCAGTGCTGTTCTTCTCTCTGGTCGATTGGAGTTTGTCCTGCCTAGTAGAGTGCGGACGTTCCACGCCGCAAAGTGAAATATCGACGATGCTTAGTTCTCCGATGATACGCCCGAGTAGGCACCCCCTCCCGGAGATCCGATCGAGGGGGTATTTTACCTCCGGACAATGATTTGTCCTACTCGAATGTTCCATCTTCGATGAGTGTTAGCTGCGTAAAAGGTTAAACTGTGACGGTTACGCTGCCGCACAGTTAGGCTGAAACTGTAGCACGGGATGGCTATGGCACAGTGAGGACTGCGACGATAGTTCCCTTGTGCTACGTTCTCGGCCGGTTAGGAGTAGTTTACTACTCCTCTTCCCCAGAGGGGTGGTAGGTCTGAGGGTTGTATAAGGATATACCGCCTACTCTCGGTCGTCAGAGCCTCTTTTGTTTAAACAGGGTGCACCACGTGAAGATGAGGTTGACTTTTGGGTAAGCTAGGCTATATGTATCGCTTCAATACCTCTTGCACCCCTGCGCTCGTTTAACGGAAGGCTAAGCAACTAAAAATACAACATTATTTTTCTCTTGGATCTAATTCCAATTTAATATTGTTTATATAAAAAACAGAAAGCAGATTTATAGCAGATCTCTGGACCCCATTAAAATCGAAACTTAAAAAAAATTATTTCAATTTGCAACTAGAGTAAACTATTAAAATACTTAAAACAAATCACAACTTATTTAATTTTAAACACCAAATCACAACTTATAAAATTGGTGTTGAGTTTGGCAGCAAATACTGAAATTGTCCGCCTTCCATTTCTTTTATTTTTTTAAGTTTAACATTCTGGTCCATCTATTTAATATCCATTGCAGTGCATAGACATGGTTGCGTCTATAGAAAATGTTTTCCACATTTTTTATTGGGGAATCATCTCTAGGAAATTTGGCGATGCATTTTTGTATACTAATACCAAAAAATAAAATTCTCCCAATATTAAACTAACTAACAATATTTTCATCTCGATTTGACGTTGCAATTTTGTTTTATTTCGCAGTGGTATAAATAAATAATTAGTGCAAATAGGAAATTTACATGAGCGATATACCGGCGTGCACATAACCTGTGAAGTCGCTGGGCGGTAATGTTGGAGGCTGGCCTGTAACCCCAGTGGTTCTAGGGTGCTGTCGCAAAAGCAGCTGGTCTATGTCAATAGCCCCCAGGGTGTGACCTGAAACAAAATATCTTTATATATAAAAATGAAATGACTTTTGTTAGAAGGTTTGTTCAAATTCAATCCAGTTGTTGATTAAGTCCAAGGAAGGTTTAAGTGAACAGAAAATATGAAATAATTGCAAGAAAAATAAGAAAAAGTAGAAAATAAATTTGACGTTTAACAACTGTAACGAAGTTATACATATGTATGTACAGGGTGGCCCATTGAAAACGTTCCGCAAGGCATAACGGCTAGGGTAATTTTTTTTCAGAAAATTCAAAAACACGTCAATTTTGTTTGTGACGGGCACAACGTTTGCCTCAAAAATGATTGCAAAATCTTCAACCCTCTAAGCGGGGGTGTCATCCCCCAATTTTTTTCAAATTTGAAGGGGAGTCAAGTGGTACCGCAATGAAAAGGGCTTTCTATTCTCTATACTTTCCGGGTATCGTTTTTGAAAATCGGTCAAGTCATTGAAAATATATGAAGGATTGAAATTTGAAAAGTTTATTTAAACATTTATCAGAGTAAATGATAAGGATAAATTCCTTCGACCAATTTGCTGTTTTTTCTTATTATTTCTAGATATTTACGCATTTTTTCACTTGTCACAAGGTTGAACGATCAGGTGCGGTAGTTGCTAGATAGCTGTTCAGTGACTTATTCGTTGAAGTTCTTCTCAATATCGTTAAACTTTTTAACAATTATGGTGTACTCACTTGTAGAAAAGTGGAAATAATCGAACTTTATTTTAAAAATAATGAATGTGGCAATCGGGTTGCGCATATATTCAATAACGCCATCCTGACAAACACCTTTATGGCAAAATTGTTCGCAAGTTAGTAGCAAAATTTCGCGAAACTGGTTCCGTTATGAATAAAAAGAGGCAGAGGGAAAATCCTGTAGTAAATGTAGCTATGGAGATATTCATATTGGGCCAAGTTGCCTTGGATAGTACGCCGAGTACAAGAAAATTAGCCAATGAGACCGGCGTGAATTGTACAAGTGTCCAAAGGATATTAAAAAAACACAAGTTCCACCCGTATAAAATTCAGTTGGTACAAGAACTCAACGAAGACGATTTTGATCGTCGCTTGCAATTTTGTAAAACTATGAGTTAATAATAGTTTTTGAAACTATGAGTTACTAATGATAATAATTTCCTATTTAATGTGTCGCAAAATAAAAACACTAAATCACCACAATACACCAAAACACTTTTACTTTTACACTGGACGCGCGTTTCGCTAACCATGTTAGCATCATCAGCAGATGATTATAAACTGCTGAGTTTATAATCACAATATCCTAGTTATGAAAATAAGTACAGAGTAGGTATGGTATATTTTTAAAACAATCATAACCAAGGCCAATAGAATAAAAAATAATATACCGGGTATCATATTAATAAAAATTCACAGATTTTGCAACATGCGCAACCATCATAGGCGTATTGAAAATACCAGACACAAGTCGGCGGTTGTCGGCAATCACCTGTTTTTTTTACATTTTATATTAATTTGTGACATCATTTGGAAGAGCTCAATAGAAATATAAAAGAACTAAACCCTGTTTGAAAAGCAATTTGACATTCGTGACGTCAACACTCCGGCAGTCTATGGTGCATCCAGACCTGACGAGCCGAGCGCGATACGAGAGCAAGACAAGAGCAAGACAAGAGCGAGACGAGAGCGAGACATTTTCTATCCATTATTTACGCAAACCTGCCACGAGACAAGCCGAGTGGAATCATAGTGAAAGGAAGCCAAACACATATTAAATTGCAATTGAATATAACAAACGATGGCCAAATAATAACGCATACAGTAATACATTTTTGTATCTTTAATATGGTATTCGGTCTTTAACATGGTATTCGTCGTTGGTTTTCCCCCTTTTGGCTGTTTTCCCCTTTATCCCTTACACGACGTTTTTTACATAATACGTTTTTTAATGTTTTTAGAACAAAATGTTAAATAGAAAAGTTATTGGTAAGGTTAAGAAGCACATTTTAACTAGCGATGGGAACTATCGAATGAATTAGACTATCGAATGGTTACTGAATGAACGATTTCAACTATCGAATGGTTTCATTCGAATAAAATCATTCATTCATTTGTATACTAAAGCATATGTGACAACCTCGCCGTGCGACTAAATCGTTATCGTTAAGCCACGACTATCGAATGCTTTAGATAAATGAAATTTAGTATTCGTTTGATTTTTGTCTGCGTCGGTGCATTATTAGTTCTTCCAAATTTTTATAACTTGCCTTCTAAATACTGTGCTATTTTTGCGTTTATTAAAATATTTAAAATACTAAAGTAGTAGTGTTTTTTTTTAAATTGACGATTGTGTACATGTGCAGGTGGTCAAAATTTTTCCGAAAATTTGTGTGATTTTCCGATCTTTCAATTATTTAATTTTATACGGTATATGGTTGCGATTTTTTTAATGGGAAATTTTGAGAAGTAACAATTTTTAAGAGAGATGAGGTGAACTTACAATTAATTTTAAAAATACATATGTATTTGTATTTTAGATGTTTTAGTAATATGAATTAGTTGAACTTAATAATCATATTTAAGTAATGTGGTAATGTGGTTAAGGTTAACATTGACTGATTAAAGTTTTACACGTGGCAATTTAAAAAAAAAGTTAACGATATTTGTATTTTGTTTATGCTAATTCTCTTACATGTAGATTTTTGCGAAGAAATATTTCATTTATTTTTTAAAGTAAATGCCAGTAAAACCAAATATTATTTTTAAATACTAATACAAAGTAATAAAAAGTAATAAACATATATAATTTTGATTTCTAATTTTTTATTTATATTTTTCTTCTATTACACTGCATGCTTAGAAAATTAATAAATGTTTATATTTAATGATGTTAAAATTTGTTGTTAATATAACAAATTAGTTTTGTAATTATACTACTTAAAAAAATGTTTATATTAAATGATTTTCAATTTTGGTGTTAATAGGTATAACAAATTATTACTGTTATTATTATTTATTAAACCAGTTTTGCCTAAAAACATTAAAAATCATTTTCCTACATCCAAAATAAAAAGTATTATTGCAGTGTAACAACAGAATATTAATAAAAAAAATGCAAAATATATAGTCATACCACAGGTCATACTATCCCTAACTAACTATAATACCAAAGAATAATATTCTTTGCTAATACCAACTAATACGAATATACGGCAACAGCGCCGTTCATAATGTATTTTCTGTGTAAATACTTGCACCTCAATAAAAAAAATAATGTGTCCTTATCTTTATCTGACTCAAAATCAAAGATGCCGGCTTTTTTCATACCATTGCCACCGACCGCTGTCGGGTTTTTAGGAAAGAAACCTACGTCGCCGGGCGACAACTAAAACCCAGTTTATATTTTATTATAATCGATCCTGACGAATAAATGAATTTTACAAATGAATGAATTTTATAAATGAATGGTTTTTGCTGCCGAATTAATATATTTCAAGGCAGATGACGCATCCATTCGATATTTTTATTCGAATAGTTTTCGACGAATGTTTTCTTATTAGCTATCGAATTATTCGAATGAATTGAACTATCGAATGTTTCGATAGTATTCATTCGATAGTTCCCACTACTAATTTTAACATTACTATAGAGTATACAGGGTACTTCAAAAAGTGTTGCGGATATAACAAATTTTCTAATGGGAATACCCTATTTTTTATTTTATTATTGGGTTATACATACGTACAATTCGGTAACTTTTCTTCCATTTTTTGATATTATATATCTAAAATTAATAGATGTTGTAATAATTCTATTTGTTTAAAGAAATGTTGGATATCGGTAGGGTAAAAATTAGCAGTGACGCAAAATTTGTAAATTCTATCAGAAAAATGATAATACATACGGTGTACGATTTAAAAATTTGAGATTACTTAATTTTAAATAGTCGAAATTTATAAATCAGACCTAATATCTCGCAGTCGGGCGAGCCTACCAAGAAGACGTCCAGACTTTCGAGCTTTCTTTGATCGGCCGTTGAAAAATCGACAGGGGACGGATAGCAACGAGGCTCTGTGGGTTGACTCGCGAGGCTCTCGCGAGACTCGTCCACACAGCGAATTTGGAATATCTCGCGCTCGTCTCCATAGGTCTGGACGCACCATCGTATCGCTGATCGCCATTCGCAAATATATTCCAGATACAGTGAACAAGTTCGCAACGTTAAATAATTTTGATATTTAATTTTTATCGTCATGGCTTTTTATCAAAGTGTATACATAGAATTAATTGCATTAATTTGCAATAGCACCTCGAACCCACAGTTTTGTTATGGAGCCAGATTAAACCAATCAGAATGAGTATTATGTTACCGTAAAAGCCCGAATATTGGTTAAACGTAGAGCTGTCCACGTAGGAGCCCGAAATATACCAAAAAGTGGGTCAGTTTCGGTTAAGTTTAGATTAGGTCTATATTTTTCTTAATTCAAAACCAACTAAAACCTAATTCTACTCTAACATAAACTCACCCCTTCCTTTGCATATTTCCGGCTATTACCTGGGTATTCCTAGGTTTAACTAATATTCGAACTTACGGTGTAAATTTATGGAGGGCCCATAAATTTAAATTCGCAGTACAACAAAATTTCACCAATTTTCTCAATAAAAATTAAAAGTTATAAATCATACTATTTTTTATAGAAATGATGGAATAAGGGTGAACGCGGTGCCGGTAGACCAAGAAGATACTTGGAATGTAAGTGTTAATTTATACTCGAATTGAGTTGCCTCCCAGTATAGGCATATTTTGAACCCTTACCGTGCATAGTTACTGTAGATAAAAATAAATTAAAATATAGTTGGCTCCAACGATAATTTAGTTTGCAGATTCTTTTCATCATACCTAATAGAAAAACCGTGACAACCACTACTTATAGTATGTACCTACATATGTATTTTTAAAAATCATTATGAGATTTAAGTATAAAAACGTGCCCATAATGTGAGTAGCGG